AGTCCAAGGACTGAATTCACATGTGTGTAGACGAAATGGGGGCCCTATTTCCTGAAATCCTCAAGAATGTGGGGAAGACCTAGTGTCTATAAAGAATATCAGCACAGTTTGCATGGTATCATAAGACTATGAGGTCAAGGGCTTACCTAGGCTCAAACCTCTCCAACTTCTCAGAATGAATAATAAAATTCTGCTGAGTGGGGAACATGCTGTTTTCTTTTTCCCAGTCGTGATCCCTGCTGTTGTAGAGGAGAGCTTCTATGAAGTGATAATTGAGAAAAGAAGAAATGGTTGAGCAGTGTGGGAGGCATTCAGTATTCTTCCAAATCCATCTCAGTGGGAACAGGACTTCAGTGCTCCTCCCCATGCTGTCTTAATGGGAGGATGTCTATTCTATAATGTAGTGGAAGTGGAAGAAGTAGTAATTCTATCCTAATAATGCAGACACAAATCAAGTCATAAAGAAGTGGACATCAAAGAGTATCTCAGACTAAAGTTTTTGGAACACTAGATATATGATTTGGTTTTTGGTGTTTTTTCAAAATAAGTATGAACATTCAGGGGGAATTCACCTTTGTCTGCTTTTTTCAGGCTCCAATGTCCAGCCGACCTCATACAGCAGTGGCACGGTCCCCACCTTTGCTGAACTGTGAACCAATAGAAAATAAGATAAGAAAGAATATTCAGCATTCCTGGAGAGAAATATTGAAAGAATGCAAAGAAAAGGATGTCAGTCAGCTAGGAGAAATCCCAGTGTCTGATTTCTCAGGTTTGTTGCTGCCTGAAATGGGCTACTCATGCTAGAAAAGGCTCTGGTTTCTTTCTAGGTGTCAGTCTATGAGAAAATCCCATCCTTACCAGGTAGTAACAGTGGTACAACCAGAGTGATTTCATTCTAGTGTTACAGTGCAGAATGGTTTAAGATGGACTGGAAAGGAATGCACCACTCTTCAGACTTTACTACTTTGTAGGAAGAAGAACATGGTCTTAGCCAGTGTTTGCAGCATGGCTCAGCATATTTAATGGATGGGTCCCACCCTCCTCAGTCGAAAACTTGTTTGTGGTGCTGATAAGTACAAGCAGCCCCCTAGTAACCTCTTAAGTAAGGTGAAATTTGAGCCTTCTTGGAATCAGTGACAGAAATCCCTTTGCTTTCACTGGGGCCAAAATTTCATTCCCAGGTAAGGGAAGTTTCACTCTACTCTGTATTTTTAAGACAAAAATTTCTTGTCTCTTCTTTCCCAGTAATACACCAGCACATAACAGGCTGAAGATTGTTGCTGCATCATCATGTATAAACTCATTGGTGTGGGAATATATTGGCTTAGTAGCTTAGAGCTACAGATCAAGTAATATTAGTGATTATTTCTTGTGCTGTCTTTCAAATTCATTAAAGTTTTATCACTCACCTAATATCCTGCTAAATGTGAATGTCTGCCTCCACCCTTCCCTACAGCAGGATCCAGATAACACATGTATGTGACAGTCACTGAAACTGATGGCCTGTCAACATATCCCCAATAACTTGTCAATCCAAGACAACAGTTGTCTATTTGCAAGGATGGTAAATTAACCTTTGTTTGATATGTCTGTGGTTCTTTAGCTATAGCAGAGAAGTTCAATTTGGATTTAAGTAAAGAAGAATTTAGCCAAATAACAACAAAATATGACATTAAGAACAATGGAAAATTTGCATATTATGATTTCCTTTGATGTTGTGTCCTGTCATTGAAACCTCAAGGAAGTTCAGTGTTACAAAGGATGGTTGTTCAGAAGTCACGGGAACCGGTATGTATATGGTGCTTTTTTTTGTTACTTTCTTACAGGAAGCAGTAGGTATGGGGTACAGCATTGGTTACTCCCACATTCCCAACCTCAGACCTAGTACCATAAGCAAAGTGCAGAAGCCGCTCTAACTTGCATCACTCATCAACAGTTCCATCTACCAAGTGAGAATAGCCAGAGTGCAATGGCTAGAATCCATTGTATTCTAGCCACTCTTCTTGTCCCATATCCAGAACACCCACATGCTTGTTATTTCTTACACAATAAATGGAATAGTAAGGGAGCTGGGTATCTTCCCAGGGGAGTTACAGGCACTCTGCACTCCCATGGCCACTCAGGTAATGCAAGGAAAGCAGAACAGACATGAGAACTGGGTTCTAACTTTGGAAAAACAGAATCATTGGTGATAGTGTCTAAATCAAGTAAGGCAGTAGGAACTGTGCCAAACTCCCTCCATAGATCTACTCATTCATCTGTCATTTTTCAGTATTACGCTGTTTTCAAGTTTGTCTAATTATTTTAGATAAGGTCAGTAGCAATGTTCCATGGAGAAATTCAACTACTAAACTCATTTAAGCTAGGAACTGATTATGGTTTAGGTGTGGAGAGGTAGATTGCTACTTAGTGTACTTGCACCCACTGAGCAGCATTCCCTCTAAGCTGCATGGCATGCTTGGCCATGCAGGTGCACCTGGCAGTGCAGCATGAGCGCACCTGTGCAACCGCCCACACCGCATAGCTTAGCAAGAATACTGCCACTGAGGTATCTGTCCCCTTAAGAATTACCACTTGTTCACTATCAGCAGTTAGAAGCAAGACAAGACTATTAAGGTCCCTGTCAGAGAATTTTCAATTTCCTAACCTAAGGAAGTTAACTATACATAGATTTAATAATGTAAATTTCTTTCCTAGTAGCTTGACTAGTTGAGTTGCTGTACTCTTAGTTGCTTTGTATCCTATGCATTTAAATTCTTAAAACAAAGAAATTCCCATCTCAAGTTCTGCGCATCATTAGATAAGTTTCTCCATGACATTTCTTCATAGATTGGTCAGCGTACTCCACTCACTAGGTACACAGAAGTATGGCAGAGATAACAGAAACAAACAATCAAACCATCCTCTCCATGACAGACACTATAATAAACATATTCGTTGAGCCCTCAAAACATTCAATTTCTCAAAAGCCTTGAAATTATGGGCCTTGAGCTGCAGTGGAGACATGCAGTTAAAGAAATCAATCTAGGTCTACACAGTCACAGTGGAAGCCTCTTTCCACACCTACCCAGCATGAAAGGTCTTTAGGGACCCTGAGTAGATGTGACTGGAGATTACATTGGGCAACTAATGTAATCATGCATGGACAGCAAATCCTCCCTTTGCTGTGCACCTTGCAAGTTATTACAGTGAAAGTTACTCTGTATGCAGGGAACATTGCAGCAGCCAGCTGCACCGCTTAAGCCCCATGTAACAGCAACCAGTAGTGTAACTTGGGGAAGCAAGTGGGGTACTAGCCTGAGGTGCTGTGTATTTTGGGGGCAACAGGTGAGTGGGGCAAGTGGAATGATGTTTCTTTTGGGGAATCTTAGCTATAGTAGGCACAGCTCTGCACTCAAATGGCTCCCAGAAAGCCCATGCCATGGGGCTCTTGAAGCCAGAGCAAGTGCTGCTATAGCAGCAGCAATGGCAGGAGCTGCCTTCAGTGTGCAGAGAACCCTGGATGGTAAGACTTCCCCTCCCCCACCTCCTTACCCCCACCTACCCTACAGTGGTCAGCACACCCTCTTTACCCCTAAAGTACTGAATGAACTTGCTATGGTTCTGGGAGCAGCAGAAGGGCCATACCTGCCCATGCATGTACAGGACTCCCTTGTATATTATGAGGTCTTCAGGGTCTGCAGTATTTTATGCAGCTGGAACAAGGAGACCATGGCCTCTAACCCTGCTGACTGGCTAAAACAACAGCTAAAGGAGATTCCTAATAACTCCAGAACCTGGACTTAGATGAAGGAAAATTAATTTTACTTTTCCTTCCCCACATTTATGGCCCATAAACTTTATACAGCTGAAGTCACTGTCATCCTTGGCAATTGTACAGTGTCTATAAACACATAGTTTACAAAGGCAAATTCATTCTATCAATTCAGTCTGTTGAGTCCAAAACAACACCTCCCCACATCCCCCATGGCAATTAGTCCCACAGAAGATTTTTTTTCATGCCACAGCTATTTCAGATATAGAAATGTTCAAAAACTAGTTACAAGACAGTTTATATAAAATATATTTTGCCATCCCGTTGCTTAGTCTCAAAATTGGCAGATGGGTATATTCACCTTTTGGCAAAACCTGAATATGGAAAACATCCAGCCTCACAAGTGGAAATAACAGGGAATTAGGAAGGACTGAAATCAGAATATTGGGAACTGTTGTGCCACCTTAACTGTAGTAGTTGCTACTAGTACCTCTGCAATACACATAAAAGCCCTTGAGGCTTCCATTTTCAATATCCAAAAAATCAGATAAAGAATTACACTGAAATTACAAACATAGGATGGTAGTAAAAATTTGAGGCCTCAGTACTGACTGTTAAGTATATAGTGTTTATATGCTAGAGGATATTAAAAAGACAAAAAAAGTCTTGTGAAAAGTGATTGTATAATTTCATAGATATAAATTCTGAATTCAAGTAGGGTACAGTCAAATGTTGGTACCTTCAGAATGTTACTGTAACACCTTTATATGCCAGTTTATGATTATGACTATTGACTAGGCCCATCACATTAACACATGCCAATTTTTTGTTCCCCACTTTGTTAGAGGAGTCCTGGACCACTGAGTCTGACATTTTTTAAGACAATGCTAAAAATTCAGCCCCAGATCTTGTACTGTTGGAGACCAATGAGACAATCTTTTAAATCCTATGACAAAAGTGGAACTGGACTGTTAAACATTCAGGATTTCAAACAGGTAAACTGCATTTAGCAATCAAATCCCAGCAAACTCAAATACTTCAATCAGAGGCTTTTACCCAAAGTCTCCAAATATAGTTATAAAAAGACATCAAACCTGTTCATTTAGGCTAGTGACAGACATTCAAAAAGCCTGAGCCTGAATT